TCTGACCTCAAATACTTTTTGTGATAATCGATTTTGAGACACGCTGCCGTTTTCTCTCAACTTTGAGAATTTGTCAGAAAATGAAAAGTCCATTTCGCCTCCTCCTCGCTTCCAAGCCCAGATGATGCCTGTTGCCAAGGCGACTGCTCTAACCCAGGTGACAGACCCTTCCTGTGAGCTGCGCCCTGTGATTGGCCTATTGACCAGGGGGGGGTCTGCAGATTGAACGTTGTGATAGGCTGGCGGGTTGGCAGAAGCCGAGACCACGGCAGACAGAGATTCTGTAGAGAGCATTGATTTAATCGGCTGGCAAGCGGGCAGACAGTCAGTACACACACACACACACACGTATATATATACACAAACGGCTGGTGAGCTGGAGGTGCAAGGGGAAATTTGGCCCAGTGGGGGTCACCTCTGTGGGAGCGAGTGTATGTGTGTGTAATATCATGCTCTCCAGGAGAGGCGTTGCTGGCAGTAATAGAAGCACTCCCAGGAGCAGACCACGCTGGGTAATATCACACTCCCTAGGGAACTTGCCATACACACACTCACCCCCTTCACACACACACACACTCAGCAAAACATGGCACATATGGCGTGTGTTCAACACGGCTCACATACTAATGCAAAGATCCAGACAGGGGGGGGACACAAATCAACAGTGCACACGCATCCTATTAGCTTCTTGCGTTCTTACAAGGTCAGATGGTGACGTGAGTGGTGGCTCCGATTTTGACAGATTCACTGGACGTCGTGGGATCAGGAGACAAACGCACTTTTATTGGTGTTACAAAGCCTTTTTTTTATATTCTTTGGGGTGTGAGCTAAGTAGAGATATTTATAAAAATTTCACACAAAATTAACTTTAAAAATTAAAATACGAAGAACTTTAATAGGCTTTGCAGAATAAGGTTTTTTAAATAGTGAACAATCTTGGAGATGTAGGGTAAAATCTTAAAGAGGTTGATCATTGGCAGAATCAAGTCATGAACTCATACTTGTCTGAGATAATGCAGAAACAACAAACTAAGATCTAAAGATGGAACAAGACACGTATCAAGCTATCAACCTGGATACATCTGTACATCCACTTTATACCAGCAGTACAGCGAGGACCATCTGAGAATAACGTGGACATGGTTCGGTTGTCTTCTCACAGATTGCGAGTGGAAATGTAGAGGTGGAGCCGAACACCACCAGAACAGCGTGTGTGTTGCTGTAAGACTGGCTTACAAAATGAAGAACAACATATGATTTTTTTTTTTGTATGTTGTTTGAACCCAAATATTTTATTTGTGTGTGTCAATAAAATAACTAACTACCTAACTAAGTAGGAATAAGTTGATGCATGTGCATAAAGTCCATAGGGCTGCTGGAGGAATCGGATTTGGCTCTTTAATATTTGACTATTTGCTTATCTTTCACCATATACACTTTGAGAGTTTGAATGAGGTTCAGTGGGACGTCCAGGGTGACAGTGATGTACACGTGATATAGTAAACAAGCTAATGGCGTTAACGACAGATCGGAAGTGAGAAGCCATTTTTTGACTGCTAGATATCAAGCAAAAGCGAAAGACTGTGTTGTATGACGTTGCTGTGAGCTATAAACTCACCACTTGAAAACTGTGATTTTGAAGTATGACGGGGCAAAACCACTCCTCCAGGCAGCTGCCTCTGTGTCTGCAGCTGCCTGTACCGTCAAAACATACTTAAAGGGCCAGTGTGTAATATTTGGCATGGTTTATTGTCAATCTGAATCTGAATCTGAATATTCTACCCATTAATATGTTTGATAGTAATAGTGTATGATCGCTATAAAATAAAATTCGTTTGATTTTCGTAGCCTTATAATTATGCTTTTATATATATATATAGCAAGGGCCTTGCTTTAGAGAGGTCGCCATCTTGCGCCGCCATGTATGTACGGCAGACCAAGTGGACAATCCAGCCAGCCAGAGAACGTGTTTCGCGTGTATAAATGAACCAACGAAGACAGCGGAAGGAAGGAAGGAGGAGGAAGAAACAGCAGAGAGTGTTAGTAGTTCGTCGATAGAGAGTAGTGAAAAGTTTTTTTAGTTATAAAGTTTGCGAATGGACCACACTTACCACGCAACAGGAGAGAATGAACCCAAACCGTCATCTGCGAGGAAAAGAAGACGCAACTTCACTCCTTGTGATGCACTCTCTGCGGCGCTTTTCCTCCTGGTGATATATCTCCCCAACAATGGCAGCAGTAGCACCGAATCCCATTCTGTGCATTCAGCCTCTCTTCTCGCCCGCTCAGCATCAAACACATGGAGTTCCTCATCTGTATGCTCCGGCTCAAACAGGTATGGCTCTGGGTCTGTGTCCGCTACAAGAAACTCTTCAAAATCGCGTTCAAAGTCGTCCATTACAGCTACTATAGTCCGGAGATATTGCTAGGCTAAATAAACAGCTGAGCACTGTTTACCGGCTACGCTGTCAGTCAGTGTGTGGGCTGGAGATTGGTGGAGCAGAGAGGGGAGGGGGGTCCCCACTTAGTATCGTAAACGAGTATGTGTGTAAAGTTATGAAGTGTGTCTGTTACGCCAGAAGAATCAGAGTTTGGGACGGAGTGGAGTGTTACCGGAGTTTCTGGAGTGCTCAAATAAACTGGCCTTTTTCCCGAGCGCTCCTCTGGTCTCCTGCTCGTGAGGGATTCATTACAATATCGTAACATGGCTTAGATTTCTAAATAAACATTCACCTCGTCGCTAGATAGACCTACTCCTGAAAAACTCGTGCGCAAGGCTTTTTGTCCCTACGAGGCCACTTTCATTTACCCGATTGGTGGGGTGAGTGATTGAGCCCTGCTATCTAGAATTTGACCACTGATGTCACTGTTTCCAACGGTTTTCAACCCATTTTACACACTGGGCCTTTAACAAATCTTTAAAAAACTATAATACTGTCATTTTACTTCACACTTACCTGTTGGCAAAATGTAGATTGACGTAACTCACACTAATAACCATATTCCCACATAACACCTACCTCTGCACACAAGACCACATATATACGATTTATTATTTACAACATTAAAAATCTGTCTTGATACCCGTAGACACTCTGAACAAGAGAACCAAGACTTGTTCATGTCCTTGCGCCTCCCTGGAGTCCCCTCATGTTTACTGTCTACCCTGTTTGGTGCTGGAGAGAGCGCAGCTATTTTTGTATCATTGAATTTAATATTTGCCTGAGCCAAGACTAAAATCATAAAAATATTAAACATTTGATTTTGTCATAATGACAAGACAAGACTGACAGTTCAGACTGAGTTTTATGACCATCTTACACCAAACACTCGAAATCACGATAGTGCCACAACTGAGCATCAACTCTCATTATTTTATTTCGACGTTTGAAATTTGTCTGCAACAGTGACATCACTTGTGGTTTGGTGTAAAGTGGGATTTATACTTGTGTGTCAGCTCTGTGCAGAGCCTACGCCGCTGTGAGCGTTTATACTTTTATCACTGTGCAGTTACACCTATAAAACCCTAGTTGGTGCTGTAAAGTTTGGTTGATTCAAAACACACATTAAACACACATTAAACATGGCTTATTAGCGACAGTTCAAACACAAGTACACAAATCAGCTTCACAATAAGTCGCAGCATTCATCGACAAACGCTTGTCTTTATCTGGACACATTTTCCCCACAAATACAACATGCTAACATTATTAGCACAAGCCTATGGCATTTTACATTGTATAAATTAGCCTAGTGGCTAGCAGAGATTTCCTCTGCTCATATGAAGCCAGGATAAATCACACACAAGACTTAAAATGCTATTTTTTGAGGCTTTATTGTCTTCACAATTTATTGTTTCTTATCTGTGAAATTAAAGTAAATAAAAGCTTTGTTTCCACTGAGGGAAATGGTTTCAGCTTACAAACATAGACAGGAGGTCTGCGTCGCTGTGACGTGTAGTTACATTTCTGGGAGGTGCATGTCAGGCTACTGCGTACACTTAGGTATGGCGTCGATTAGACACAGAAGTATAAATTCCACTTAAGCTCACCGTAAAGGTAAAAACTACTCTTGAGTTTTTGAGACGTGGCAACACCAGCAGAGACAAGTGAGTGTTTTTTTCTAATTTTGGTGATTTTTTTTTTGACTGATCCACTGACAGAGAGGAAGCTGTGAGGAGTTTATTTCTCATCCACTTCAATACAAAACGCTCCTCAGGTTTTAGTATCTGTCTCCAATTAATGCTCGCAGCTCTGGCATATCTGACATTTCCCTCTTAATAGATTCCTCGCAGTATTTGCAGAAATCAGAAGCCCGCAGTCATGACATCTCCCCACCCTGTAGCCTGTACCTGTATCATATCACAGAGCACTACAAAGTGAGCCGAACACCAGACAGGACGGCTTTAATTTTATATTTACCCTGCTCCCTCCCCCTCCTCCTGCCATTATCAGTCTCTGCCGTACACAAACTCCAGATTTTGCCACGTTCAGATGACAAGGCAGATGAAACGAGCTGGGGGCTGTGAGAGATAGCAACTGGAAACGTATTTTCACGGCGGCCCGTCTGAGATCCCTCCCTCCTCTATAATCTATAGGCTGGTTTCACTCAGATTGGGAGCCGACAGCTTCATTAGGTGAGAGGGAAGCTGCTTTGATCTAAAAATACTCACCATCATCTCCTCTGGAGTGGAAAAAGTTAAAGAGTTTCCCTGTGTCTTAATCAGAAAAAAGCCTGCAGATTTTTTCCGAGCAGAGGCAGAGGATTGGAAAATATTGAGCGTTGAGGTGGCGTTGAGGATGTATTAATTCTCGCTCCTCTGAGAGTTATCCTCCTCGGGAATATGGGGAGTCGTCGCTGTGTGTACAGGTGGTTTGGTAAATAAGAGTCTGGACTTTGAGCTTGTGTTTGGCTCACATCAGTGTGCTGTGCTGTGTTTGTCATGTGCTTTGAGGCGCCCGACAGCACCTCCAATAACATTGCTCTCATCTTTCTTTCAGAGCATAGGCAAAGGCTCTCTGTGGTCCATAGATCCGGAGTACAGGCACAACCTGATCCAGGCGCTCAAGAAGACGCCGTACCATCCCTACTCGCCCGGCCTGGCCACCCCCTCCACCTCTCCACCCACCCTGCCTCAGACATTTCACCACAGGTAAGACAGATGCTCTGAGTGGTTGACTGATTGATGAATATCTCATGTCTTGAACTGCCTGGAAAACCCAAGGTCAGGGCGCTGTGTGTTTCGCTTGTGCCTGCTCTCTGCCAACTTTGCCGACCTGTGTGGAGACAGGTTGAATCTGATGTTACTAAGCAACCATAACCAGCACCGTAACAGAGTCTCACCAGAAATCCTAAGATTGGAGCTTGTCTTCGTTTGGGTGGTGGTTTTTGAGTGTGCAATAGGCATTAAACAGGACAGATGTAAAGTTCTGGGTGTTAAAATGATCAACTCCTTCTCCATATTTATCGTAGACTGATATTTACGTATCTTAAGAAAGATATGTTTCAGCTGTGATTGGTTGTTCCTCTTTACATGATGTACTTGACACTTTGGAGCGCTTGCGTACTCTTGCTTTTGAGTGCACCTTCTGCATGTCTACACTGAAAACAGTGGATTTAAGTGCACAAATAAATGCATCATGTGTACAGGGCCTTAGTGTGATGTGTCTGGAGCGGCTGTGCCACAGAAGGTTGGAGTGGGTCAGGCTGGTCTGACGTATTTTGAAAGGCTGCGATCATATGACCAGTGCAATGATGAGAGTAAACAAGGAAGCAGTCTCAAGCGGTCTCCTAAGGAGACACAATGTGGTGGTGAAAGGGTCATAAAAAGCAGGACTTTCCCCTTGAGACGGCACGGTGGAGCAGTGCTTTGCATTGTCAGATCCTGGTTCAAACCCAGGGTGGGGGAGCCCCTCTGTGCTGAGTTCACATGTTCTCCCCGTGTCAGCGTGGGTTTCCACCAGGTACTCCAGCTTCCTCCCACAGTCCAAAGACATGCAGGTTAATTGGTGACTCTAAATTGTCCGTAGGTGTGAATGTGAGTGTGAATGGTTGTCTGTCTCTATGTGTCAGCCCTGTGATAGTCTGGTGACCTGTCCAGGGTGAACCCTGCCTCTCACCCAGTGTCAGCTGGGCTCAGATAGGCTCCAGCCCCCCGCGAAGGAAAATGAATGAAAGAATTTTCCCCTGGAGTCGTGTGTTTGGGTTAGTTAAGTTAATTTAAAGTACGTCCTCCCAGAAACTTAACTTGCATAAACCTAAAGACACCCAAACATGTTTCTTTTCCTAAACCTAACTTCTGACGGTACATTAAGGACGTAGCGTCAATCAATGAGGGGCTAATTAGTTAATACATCGAGTGGGTAGTGGGTAGAGTCGTCCACTTTATTTCACAGTTAAGAAACAATAAATTGTGAAGACAATAAAGCCTCCACAGAAATAGCATTTTAAGTCTTGTGTGTGATTTATCCTGGCTTCATATGAGCAGAGGAAATCTTTGCTAGTCGCTAGGCTAAGTTATACAATTTAAAATGCCATAGGTTTGTGCTAATAACATCAGCATGTTGTATTTGTGGGGAAAACGTGTTTAGTATAAAACAGTTGTTTTGTCAGTGAACCTTGTGAGTTGTAATGGAGCTGAATTTTGTAGTTACCTTTGTTAAATGTTGCTGTTGTCCCTGGCTTCATATGAGTAGAGGAAAAGATTGCTAGAGGCTAGGCTAATTTATACAATTTAAAATGCCATAGGCTTGTGCTAATAACATTAGCATGTTATATTTGTGGGGAAAACATGTTTAGTATAAGACAGTTGTTTTGTCAGTGAACCTTGTGAGCTGTAATGGAGCTGAATTTTGTTACGTTACTTTATTAAATGTTGCTGTTGTCCCTGGCTTCATATGAGAGGAGGAAAAGTCAGCTAATTTATGCCATAGGAAAAAGACAAGTGCTTTGTCTGTGAATCCTGCGAGTTATAATGAAGCTAATTGTGTACGTGCATAGGCTATGGCGAAGTCTCTGCATAGAGCTGAAGCACATGTATAAATCCCGCTTTAGTGGTTCAAGATGTGTCTTTGTCCCATGTGTCATTGACTCATAAATGTAATATTGAAATAAACTAAACTAAAATAGAATATAAAAGTACAATAAATACGATAAATTAATATTCTGTTCACGTTTTGATCATCATTGTCATCATGGAGAGTTTTCTTTCTCTCATTAATTTTATTGGCATATTTTGGCACAGCAACGTACAGTTCAATAGTTGTTACAAACGTTGTCTCACTCCAGCAGCTGTGTCTGTGTCTCCGTCCAGGATCGTCCTCTGTTGCATTGATTTAACCCACTGATTCAACTTCAGCATAATATTCTCTTGTACAGTGTTTGTCACGTCTCTTTGACCACCTTCAGTCGTGGATCTTTTTTTTGCTCCATCACAGCTGTCTGTACATCATTATACTGTGTTTTCTAATTGTTTTAGGGTTCCTTAAAACAACAACTGACACTGCTAAATTTGGGTTAGAATTTGGGTCTGCCGACTCCCCACAGCAGGACTTGAATAAGTCAAGTGTGACTTGTGTTTTGATGAAGAGGCAGCGTTATACGGCAAGTTAGGGGCGTTAATTATGTTATGGTGGAATCTCACATGGAAACACACCGACACTCCTGAACAGTTGTCAGGCTGGAAGGAGCAATTCAGTGGAGCTTGTGCAGTGAGAAGTGTTTGGTGAATCAAATTGAAAACTTGTCTGATCAAGCCTCTGAAAAAAAGTAAGAGAAGTTATAAGAGAAAATGTTTTTGCCTGAGGTTAAATTACATGATTAATCAAAACTGAAAAAAAGTGCAACAATTTTGAAAAATAATTTAAACATTTTCAGCTTTTGAAACGTAAAGATTTTCTGCTTTTCTTTCTGGAAAAAAATGGTTTCTGGTTGATGTCAGTTTATGATCTGAGATTGATCTTTTCATCTGTGCCTTTAGCTTTGTTTACACCTGTGGGAGACGCCATGGCAACATAAATGCACAGAGACATCACTGTTGTTGCAATATGCTCCACACAAAATACTCTAACATTACTGAAAGAGTAAGCCGCCTGGCAACAGTGGTAAACACCAACATACTGCCAAACATTGCATTTGTGTACCTTAATTATTACTGTCGCCTACATCCAAGTCAAAATTATTTAATACCGCTGTGTTTCCCCATGGGTCGCCACTCTTTGGATGAGACCATCTCTCATGTTCTTCCACACCCTGCAGCAAAAAGCCCCGTCTCTCCCCAGTGTTGGAGCTTTTTCTCGCCAAGGATTTAGGGCCATGTGACGCCCCTGTGGTGTCTTAGTGAAGAGTCGTACAGGTGTGTGCACAGGCAAACCTTCTCGGCCTTACTCTTCTTTCAAAGGCAGAAATGTTGAATTTAAAAGGGCAGCGGATGTAGTGGATGCTTACAGCATTCTGAAAATAAAAAATAGATTTTTTTTCTCACCTGCTGCCCACCTGCGTGTAGCTCATTTTTACCCGTGCATGTACCCATGAATTTATATATACATATCTTTTTTACCTGTGACACAGCTTGTTACTCACGGCTACCCGACCCAGTGTAGGACTTTGGCCTACAGACATTCAGAGGTGCACAGTCAACTCGCACCAGCGGCTGACTCTGCTCTGCTGGCTACTGAAACATCCTGGTGCAGACTATTTACTGGAGTTTCCCAGCCTGTTGCTCATGCAGCGTATGAAAATGGCTTTCATTGTCTGATAGTCCACCACGAACATTTTTGTCTCATCTTGTCAGTGAAAATCAAGCAAAGATTTCTTAGTTGTTGTTTTTTCATCAAAATCTATTTTTGGCTCGTCATTGTCTGGTTTTCGTTTTGGAAAAAAGGTCTACGATGAAATTTTTTTGTCATAGTTTTCATCAGTGAAATGAAAACTGGTACAGACTGTGGTTAGAGGCCGTACACATGCCACATCTTCAACCACATGGAAAACGCGAGGTCAGGTGTGGGTGCTACTTCTGTGCCTTTTTTGTGCCAGCTTTCAAGAGCATGGCGGCAGGTTGCGTCTGAGGTTGCTAAGCAACCTCAACAAGCACAGTACCATAGCCTGTTTACCTGAAATCCTGAGTGCAGAGCTGATCTTTTCCCAGTTGGTGTTTATAAATGTGAGGGCATATCATCTGTGGGACAGATGTAAAGCTCTGACAGCTCTGCACTAACATGATCAACTTCTCCATATTTATCACAGACTGATATTTACAGACGAAAGGAAAGATATCTGGAAGCTGTGATTGGTTGGTCCTTGTCACATGACATGGGGTGCACGCTGCTGCGTTCCAAAAGTGCCCTGAATAATAGGTACTTGGGAACGTGTGCGCCTCGCTCTGGCCTCGCTCTGGCGTTAGAGTGCGTCTACATTCAAAACAGTGAAACTGAGGGCGCAGAAACGCAGCATGTGTACGGCCCTTACTTGGCATAAATGGTATTGTTGTGTACACTTGGTTGCTTATTTTGTTCATCAGCAGGGAAGTGTGTTTCCATTTCATTTTGTATTTAAAAGCACAGAAAACGGTGCTGTTTACTTCTGAGAAATGCTTTTATGCTGTATTAATGTGATATTAATATTTATCTGATGGAAAGCGAATCAAATTAATTCACTTGAAGTCAGGACTCGCTGAATCAAATTGTGATCAGACAGAGAAATCCATTCCTATAGATGATTTTTAATTTAATATTTCTTTGGTTTTCGGACAAAATAAGAGATTTTAAGACGTCAGCTTCAACTCTGAGAAATGCAGGAAGAATTTTTCTGATCTGTATTTGCTTTCTAGACTCTTCATCAAAAAGAAATTATAGAAATATGAATAAAAAAGTGAAAATAATGTGTAGTTGCAGCTCTAAAGCACACACAATATAAACCATATACACTCCTCCACCTCTCTTCCTCTCTCCATCTGTCGCTCCCTCTCCACCCACCTGGCCCCAGGCGTTATATAGCTGACCCGCCCCATCCTTTCCTTAAATCTTTTTGCACGCTGTTTTCATGCAGCAACACTTCCATCCCTCCTCCTATCTCCTTCCCCCTCAGGCACATCACAGGTAATGCGCTGGTTGCCTTTTTTTCCTCCTCTCCCTCCACATGTTCACTCCTTCACCC